AAAAGTGATATGGTGAGCTGATTTGCTTAACGTGAGATGGACATTTTACACTATTAAATTTAAATTAATGATTAGATTTAAACTAATAGGTTAACTAATTAAAAATATATGGCCCCTACATTTATTTGATTTCCAAAAAGTGATATGGTGAGCTGATTTGCTTAACGTGAGATGGACATTTTACACTATTAAATTTAAATTAATGATTAGATTTAAACTAATAGGTTAACTAATTAAAAATATATGGCCCCTACATTTATTTGATTTCCATGCAAAATCTTCTCTAACCATAACCCTAACCTGAACCATAAACCATAAACCGAACCCACGAACCCTAGCCCTAACCCTAGCCCTAACCCGAGCCCGAACCCTAACCTGAACCCACTAATCCTAACTAGAGCGCGAACCCAACTCGAACTCTAACCTGAACCCACTAATCCTAACTCGAGCCCGAACCCAACTCGAACCCTAACTGTAACCCGAACCGACTAACCCTAACTAACCTGAACCCGAACCCAAACCCTAACCTAGCCCAAACCCAAGTACGAAAGAGAGGAGGCGGAAGGGAGGAAATCTTAGAGAAGATTTGACAGGAAAATCAAATAAATGTGAAAGCCACATATCTTTTATTAATTAACTCATTTGTTTAAATCTAACCATTAATTTGAATCTAACGTTGTAGAATGGCCATCTCATATTAAACAAACCATCTCACCATCTCACCCTATCGCTTTTCTATATATATGCAAGACTCCCACTGGGTGTATTTTCGCTCCATCACCAAGGTCTCGACACAGTATATGAAACTGAAATGTTCATTCTGCATTAAATTACACAGCATTTTGAGGGAGCTGAACTACATAAACATTATTATGAGGATGCTGAAAAACAATCTAAGAAAGAGTAATGAAATAACAGAAAAGAAAAGAAGAAAAACTAGAAACTATTCATGTCACAGTTCACTTTATGAGCCAAGAAATAATGTTTGTGTTAAAAATCAACTTTATAGTTATAAAGATAAGTTATCTATTTAAACTTGCTTTACCAGTTCAGGCCAAACGCTGATTGCACAAGCTTCAATAGTGTTCAATAAGCATTCATTAGGACCATGCTGCAAGACACAAGATCAATTATTACAACATTACCTTTACAACGAACAAAAAAGATACACCTATATAATGAGAGAGAGCAAAATAACATTGAATATTTTCATGTGAGAAAACAATAGTCAATGTCAGTTATATACTAGATGATTTCTCCATTGCATATTCACAATTTCACATACACACGAGTGACTTCGTAGGGCCATAAATTGGGGACATTTGGGTGATTCTTCTATGAAGCCCAACCCAGATAGTCATATTTTCAAGGGTTGGGATAGGATAGGGTCCAGCTCGTGGGTTCAGATTGTGTTTAGCAAGTGAGTTTGTGGGTGCGCACTCGCACGCACATCAAGTCACCAGTTTTTATAACCTTTTCTCTTACCAACTTTCAACAATTGACCACAATAACTAACATGAATATGTGAAAAACCATGCATGGAAAGACCCTGGGTTGAGTCTTCAAATACTACTCATCTCCATAAGGAAGTTAGTCCTACCTCCAGACAGTTGAGGGAAAAAACGAATAAGTGCTGTCATCTAAGAGGGTGATACCAGCAATCAGCTCTTAAACAGATGATTAATACAAAATCTCTTAAGACTAGAATGTGCACAGGAATCATACATAAAGTTACATGAAGCTTCGCATGTCTCACTAGTAGATACAAGTTTTGTTGTCCTCAAAGATACTTTATCCCTCTGAATCCTAAACAAAGAAGCAGGATCCACATCTACTATTTCACTATCTCTTCTTTGTTAATTCTTCCTTCCATTCTGTCCTTGAAACTTCTGAAGGAAATAGTGTACAAGCAAAGTTTATGTGCCAAAAGGTCTAGAACGCTACAAAATGAACTTCAAATTTGGGGCTTCCTCCAGTCACTTGATAATACCGCAGAATTCCCAATACAAATACAACTTAATTCGAGAAGTTTTTTTTAACTTGATTCAATTTATTTTAGGGTTAATTGCGAATAGACACCCTGTAGTTCTTTTTGTGGCAAATAGGTCCATGTAGTATTGACCCACGTACGAATAAAACCTCTTAGTGAACGTTTTCGTATTTTTTAGAAATAAAAAAAAATTAGAAATTGGTGATCTATCCTCTCAAATAGAACTATGGGGGACCGATCCGCCTCCTTAAACCTTTTTAGTGGTTTTAAGAGTCAAAAAAAGCCAAAGGGTCTATTCACAAAAATAGAACTACAGGGGGTCTATTTGCAATTGGGTGATACTACAGCGGGTATATTCATAGTTAACCCCTTTTTACGTCTGTTCTAGCAAGAATTATTTTAAGATCATTCAATATCGTCCCATATGTATCGCATCTAATGTGACTTTCCATCGAACAAACTTTACTTGAAAAGGACAAATTTTATGCAATCATTTATCTTTTACTATTTATGGGAATTCACGGAGGGGAGGGAAGTTGAGTGAGGATGGTGTAAGGATTAGACACATGTTGGATGGATGGAAGTATTAGAAGTATGAAGTAGTTCAAAAAAGTAATTTCCAAAATTATGAAGTAAGAAGTACTAGAAGTAATACTTCTTTTGTTTGTTTCACATATTTTTTGAAGTAATGGAGGTAGTACTTCTTCCTCTTTATTGCTTTTTTTTTTTTTTTTTTTGGGGGCGGGGGGGGCGATAGCAATTGTAAATATATTAAGAAGTATTCACCATGGTGAAATTACCTCCCTTTCTCATAATTAACAAGACTAACAATCTTTGAAATGTATATAATCAAATACCTTGTTTAATGATCTGTATTGTGATACTACAGTCATATGAAACAAAAGATATACCATGAAGTATAAAGTCTATATGTCCCACATTAATCATATGAATGAATAAGCAACAAGATAGGGTCATGCTCGGTGAGATCAGATTTGAATGAGAGGCACTCTTTTTTGCTCAGCTAAAGGAGTAGGCGAGTAGCAACAAAAAAAAATTCCGCGCAAAGGGAGAGAGAGAGCGGTGATTTTTATCGTTGGAAGAGAGAAAGAAGTATAAAATGATATATATTATAATAAGAAACTAATTTGTTGGGTGAAATTAAGATGGTTTGCTATTTCCGATCTACTCCTGAAGGTTGGGGGCCAGAAAAAAGATTACGAACTAGATGTGCCACATAGACGCCATATCACTATATCAGTATTTCAGAAAGCAGCGGAATTAGCATTTACACATAAATAAATTAGCTTTTTTTGCTCAAAATATGCGAAGTAGCCTCTACTTCCGTGCAAACAAACAGGACTAGGGAAGGTGGGGAAAATATGAATCTTATTTGGGGATGGAATTTCAAACTAAATCTTAGCCCCGCTGGATTTCGTATTGAAAGGGTAAAGTTGTCGCTGTGGGACTATCTAATTTCGATGGATTCCCTTCCACTTAATTACACCCAAATTGGAGGGGAACAAAATCCCATAAATTTTCACACCAATTAACTTAACTTCTCCTGCATTACTCAGACAGATGAGTTCCCAATACGAATTAATGGTTCTCTTACCTCCCATTACACCCCACCACCACCCAAAAAAAACAAAAAAGCCAATTCAAAAATGGCCAAAATCTTCTTTTTCTAACTTATATTCCCTAAAGTCGACAAAACCATTCAGATACATTCTAATTACTGCTTTCAAATGTAAATTTTGTAAAAAAATTCAAGACCACAACTATCAATTAAAGATCAGCAACACGATAACTAGAGAGATAAACCGAGACAAGATGAACCTGGCACGAGATGGTGCCGTTGGGTTTGATCTTGGCGTTGCCGTAGGGGATCATCTTGAGATCGACGATGTCGATGAGACCGGCGTCGAAGATCTTGGCGAGGTAGTTGACGATGAAGTTGGAGCAGTAAGGGCAGAGGGACTCGTAGTAGACAGCGACGGAGACCTTGCTCGATTCAATGGCGGACGTGGAGGCGAAGAGGAGGAGGAAGGAGAAGACGAAGAACCTAGAGGAAGCCATTAGAATCTAGCGAGAGAGATTTAGGGTTTTTTGGCTGCGAGATTTTGGCTGAGTTTGGGAGAGGATATTTGTGGAGACTTCTGCGGTCGAGAAAGAGGCAGAGGGGCACTTCTCTCTCATCAGTGGACCGACTGAGGAAACGTTGAAGATCCCGACGTACCGTCGTAATGAGTGGGGCCTGCCCCCTTTTTTGTTTGGGGTTAATTTCACAAAAACCCCCTGAACCCTGGAGGGTTTAACTTAACCTCTCCTACAACATTGTTTCCGGCCAAACCCCTCTTAATTAATCCAAACTTTTAGCTAGGGCTGGGCAAAAACCGAGAAAAACCGGTTCAACCGAAAAAACCGCCCGAAAAAACAGACCGGTTAACCGAACCGAATTAAATGGATGAGAAGAAGTCTCTAAACCGCCCGAACCGAATTAAATCGGTTTGGATCCGGTTTGAACACCTGAACCGCCCAAAAAAAACCGACCCGAATTTTGTTGGGCGATTTAGAGACTAAACTTATATCTCAAAACTTTTCATGTTATCATCCAATAGATTCAAACGGCGCAAGGAGCAGTTTCAAGCAATGAGTACAGCAATATCACAGAAAAATATCCTTGGGAACTAAGTAAAGATTCAAATCAATCCAGAAAATTTGTTATGCACATGATGCACTTACAAAAGATGTATATACTACATTATATGAACAATATCATACAAAACATCACTCCCCCCGTGTAATTAAATAAACTTAAATTTTAGTTAAAAAATTCGCAGAAAATATCTTGAGAATTACATAAGATTCAAATCAATCACAAAATGTGTTATGTACATGATACTTACAAGAGATAAGCATGCTGTATTATATGAACAACATCTTTAAAACATCAGTTCTCTGCGTAATTATATCAACTCAAAACTTTATTCTAAAGATGATAACCAGTCTAATAAAGCTTTGTTGGCGAGCTCAGGAACCTCATCATGAGGACAATGCCCAGCTTGCAAATTCACAACAGAAATCTTTGGATAGAACTCTTTGCAAATTCAAAACTGAAACCGAACCGAACCGAACCGAATTTTGGTTGGGCCGAATATTCGGATGAAGGGGAAAAAATCTGGATCTGGATGAGAGTTTTGAGCATCCAAAAAATTCGGATTGGATACGGATTGGGCATAAAACCAAACCGAACCAAATATGCCCAGCCCTACTTTTAGCTACCGTAGCTTCCTTTACACCAATATAGTTCTTTGAAATCTCATGATAACGAAAGGAAATATAAGCCTTAATTAGCCCATTTCATTCAAAAGGGAACAATAATGTGCAATATTAAATTAGGGTAAATTACAGTAAAGCCTTGAACTTTCAGAGTTTTGCAATATATGTCAATGAACTTTCAAAATCACACTAAACCCCAATGAACTTTTTGAAATTGCAAATAGCGCCCATGATTTTTCTGAGTTTTGTAGATAATCCCCAAAATTAGAACCAAAAAACAACATAAAAAGGTATTTTGGAAGTTCATGAGGGTTTAGTATAATTAATTTACCATAAATTAAAGTTCATGGAAGTTCTCTACAAAAGTTATTGGGGTTTTAGTGTGATTTTGAAATTAATTAAGTTCATTGCGTTTACTACAAAGCACTGAAAGTTTATGTGGGTTGAGTGTAATTTATCCATGAAATTAGCAGTTTATACCTATTGTGCAATATTAAACAATTTAGCTACTCATTACTCATTAGTGAATGTTAAAATGAGTAGACACCGGCAAAAGAGACAATCTACTCATCTCACTACAACAAAATACAGCATTTTCGACGAAACAAAAACGTCGACAAAAGTTTTAAAAAACGTTGGGAAAAATCTTTCCCGACACAAAATGCAGTGTCGCTAACGCGTCGCCAAAAGTGCGTCAATGAAAGTATTTGGCGACGCAAAACAACTTGTGTCAGTAAAAATCAACACTTTTGGCGACGCTTCATGCATCGGGAAAGGTACATCTTTTAGCGACACATAATATTTTGCGTCGGCAAAAGGTATGCATAATTTTCTCAAATGCAATGGTGTGTCGGCAAAAGTATTACTTTTGGCAACACTTGCTGCGTTGGCAAAAACCAAAACGTCGGCAAAAACATAGCTTTTAGCGATGTAAAACTGTTCATCGCTAAAAATAACACTTTTGGCGATGCAAGTTAGCGTCGGCAAAAGTATAGCTTTTAGCGATGCAAAATGAAGTGTCGCTAAAAACTATATATTTGGCGACGCAAGATAGCGTCGCTAAAATATATTACTTTTGGCGACGCAATATAGCGTCGGCAAAAGTGGTACTTTTAGTGACGCAATATAACGTCGCTAAAAGTTAAAAATTTAGTGACGCAATTTAACGTCGACAAATGTATAATTTTTGGCAACGCATAACTATCTTTTCTGTCAACTACAGGCATGTAAACCTGAACATCCACAAAAAAATTGCACACATTCACATCGACAAAGAAACCAAATATCAAATTATACTCCAAACACGTTGTATATTATGATAAACAAAGAATTTACTCCTATTACAAATTAGTTACATTCATTTCCATTTCTAAGTCAACACTCAAAGGCCTGTTTAAACATTCCAGTTTGCTTGTAATCCATAAAGGAAAAAAAGAAACACAATTTGCCGAGAGGAAAAAGGTGAAAGAAAAGAAAGAAGGGAACAATTGTTTACATATTCCAGTTTGCTTGTAACCTCATGACAAGTTGCTCTCTGCTTTCAAGATAATCAAATCCAAGTTCGTGCATAACAAGAATTAAGCAGCATCAAAAATAGTCGTGAATATATGCGAGTGTAAAAATTAGAACTTGTGATGCAATTTATATATATGATCTTTTACTCATATTCCAGTTTGCTATATAGAACTTTTTTTCATGAGACTGACTTGCAAGTAAAGGACTCACTCTTCTGCTTGCCCACTTTGCAACAATAATCTGAAAGCAAATAAGCAGATTTTTTTTTTAAGTAAAGGCAGGAAATACTCTGTGTTTGATTAATAAGCTTCTAACAAAACATCTCCGATTCTTTTAACTTTCTACCACCAAGCAAATGAACCTCTATTTGGAGTGAAACTAGAGATACAACTTATGGTCCTTATCCATGAAAACTTCTTCCTCTGGGAAAATATGCTGGAATGGCAAGTTTAAGATATGAGATTTTATGCTCCAAGCAAACTTGCTATTTTCCGCATCGCATATTCAAGATCAAGCATTGAGATATCTCAGATCCCATAGAACAAACTCAACTATCAAATTTGATATATCCTTAAAGTATATAGATATTCAACTAACATTTTCATGGTTCCCAAATCTGATAGAGATAAAGCAAAAGTAATTAGATATACCGATCTTCACAAAACAAACTCTACTACCAAATCTTTAATAACTTAAGAATGTAGTAAACACGTGACTAATTATTTTACAGTCAAATAAAATGAACTACATAATAGAGAGAACGTTGAGATTCTAAACCTGCTACATGGATGCACTAGAAATGACTTTACGCTGGATGCACTAGAAATGACTTTACGCTGGATAGCTCAATTTCCTTTTTTTTCGTTGTGTGTCTTAAGTGGACCAGTAAATTGAAAAAGCATAATTCCTTACATCCTTCTGAAAACACTTGGGCAACATTTGAAGCAATCTATTCCTTGACAACCCTATTTGGTAGTTTGTATCAGATAGTATAGCATGAAAATCATAGATATTACCATTAAAGAATATCATTAAAGAATGATTAAAAAAAATACCCGAACTCTCATAATGATCGCCTCTCGACTCTCAGCATCAATATTGTCCCAACCACAATTGCGAACCGGTGCAGATGATCGGATCTCCTTCCCAATCTCATTTGCGAGGGATGTCGCATGCTCCCCCTCCGGTGCTCCACTCGAGGAAGGGATCGGAACTGAAATCGCATGATCTAATTGTCTCACCAAGCTCTCTATCCCCTTCCCTCGTGTTGCACCGTGTACATTTCTACGGGCCGATGGTACCGATCCTACAAAAACAAGATTAATAAACTAAATAAGACAATAGAATATATCACACATTTTCCATGATTCTGATTGATGGCCAAAATGTACCCATCAGAGGCCTTAAAGGCTGAGCATGGCCATAGAAATGTCAGCATGCTATTCACAACCACAAAATATATATAGCAGAAAATTACATATGATCACGTGTTACATGTTGCGCGCCGTGCGGAAGCGTGCTCGATAACCAAACGAGTCGGTGAGCGATGAGAGAAGAAAACCAAAACCAACCACGAGTGCAATTCACAAAATAACGACCAAAATCACACACAAACACAGGAATTTACGTGGTTCGGCAATTGCCTACGTCCACGGGGAAAAGATAGGGAGATTTCACTATATGGAGGGGAAATACAATGGGTTACAACTCACAAAATCACTCAAATATAACCCTAACCAAAACTCTCAACTCCCTCATAATATCTCCCTCTCAAAGTGCTCAAAACAATGCTAATTCTCTCCTTAAGAAACCCTAAAAACGTGGTTCTATTTATAACAAAACACAATCCCAAATAGATTAGGATTCTAAAAATGAGTCTGCCACATCCTGGTGTGGCACACACCACACTCATGCAAACAGGACAGATTCTGCCACACCGGGGTGTGGCAGACACCACACCCATGATAGACAGGGCAGATTCTGCCATACCCATGGCAGACACCACACCAGGGTGTGGTGGAGTCTGTTTTGCTTATTCTTCACGTTTTTCTCAATTCCTTCGCCGTTTTCACAATTCTCCACCTCGGCGAAGTGTTCTCAACACTAAGCCGACACCAACATGAGTACCAATGCGTCGTCTCTCCAAACTTGGCTACACCAATGTGGTTGCCTACGTACCCCCTCTCCCAAGGGATCAAGTCGCCCGTAGTTCATCCAAATGGCCGTCAACGGCCTCAACAATCACGAATATGCAACAAGTTTCGACAATGATCAAACTTGTTACTCGGAACCATCTTAGTGAGCATATCCGCCGGATTATCCTTCGTGTGGACTTTCACAATCTCCACATCGTTATCTTCAAGAACATCCCGAACGAAGTGATAACGAACGTCAATGTGCTTCGTCCTCGCATGAAAAA